GCAATAAAGCTGTTTTGAGCTCCAGGCCAGAGAAAAGATTCATGGAAAGTTTCGATCATGAGGAGTTTGTAATTCTTACGACCGGGAGGCAAATGACTTCTGTTCAAGATGATTCAGCTGCTCCTTAAATCCCACCGAAGGTACTTTGCTTGATTAGATCTGGTATCAGTGAACTTCAAGCTCCATCGCATTCCATATTTTTTAAGAAACTCTTCCTTGGTGACACTCTGTGCCACAGATGTCCCTGACTCTCGGCTTGACACGCAGATATGGCTCTCAGCAAGGCATTCTCCATCTTTGAAAAGGACCCCTTCTTCAAAGATTTTGAGACGTTCGCTCGCACCCAGGTCGACGCATTGTTCAAAAAGAACAGCGGCGGCGACGCAGCCGCAGCTGCACCATCCACATCCACAGCCCTCATCGTGGCCACACCATCATCTTCATCCGGTCCGCCAGTGATCGCACAAGGCGGGCACGTCACAGCGCGCACGACGATGTCTGCCTTCATGTCCGTGCCGAAATACACCGTGACTGAAGAGAAGACCCAGTACATCCTCAAAGTCGAGATGCCGGGTACATCGAAAGAGAATGTCAAGCTCGAGCTTTGTGATGGAGTGCTGGTAGTCGAGGGAAGCGCGGAGACGAAGAAGACTGACGAGTCGAAACCGGATGGAGGGACGCTGTATTTGCACGAGTTGACGGTTGGGAAGTATAAGCGGCAGCTGACAGTACCTGACGATGTGGATCCGGATAAAATTAGCGCTACGATGGCAGATGGGGTACTGACTGTGAAGCTGGGAAAGAAGTCTGTGCGTTTGGCCATCAGTGTCAATTGATGGAGAGCAGGTGTCGTTATCTATGGACAGTGTGATTATGAAAAGTGAGATCGAGTAGCCGCGACCGATACCCTGAGCAGTCGAGATTCCGGTTCAGTCTAATGTAACAGTGTGATCGCACAACAAAAGTTTTATCACTCGCTTAAAAAACTAATTTTTCTCATCGGCAAGTCCAACACACAACAATCATGCCCCGTCGCCAACGCAGCTGTCGAACTCGACGCCAGCACCACTGCCTACGCTTCGCTGCACCCCTCTCGTGGCTACTCACACTTCCCACGGGTATCCTACACCCACAATGTAGTCTCCGAGTTCCACTATGGCGAAAACCATAAAATGAAACCCGCCCATCACGCGCTCGCTCAACCTCGTCCTCGCCTATGATCTGCACAAGAATATGGTGCAATTGCACGCCACGAAAGAGGATCTGTGGGATTCCATTCCGAGGACTGCATAGACTTTCTGAAACGGTACGGGACTAAACTCGGCGAGGAGCGTGCGAACGGAGCTAGAGCGAACTGATTTATTTCTTGGTTTTTTGCTAATTCGTATTACTTTGTGTACATCAGTGTAACACCAGACAACCACACAAACCGGTCCATGCAACCGCATCTTCAAAAGTTTCGGCTTGCTGTGGAGACGATACGATTGCCCTGTGTTCGCGGGTCTGTATGATCTCTGCTCCATGTCCGCCGGTGGCTCGCTCGAGGCTGCGCGTAGAATTGCAAGGGGTCATACGGATATCGTGATCAATTGGGCAGGTGGGCTGCATCGCTACAAAGTTCTAGGCGTCAGGATTCTGTTGAGTTAATGAAATCGTCTTGGGTATTCTCCAACTTTTGAGGTGAACTATCACGCTGATCGCATCATTCTAACGATATCCCTAATCTTCAATCGCATCCTAGGGTCCTTCCTCGAGTATTACACGGTGAGAGAGATCACAAAACCCACAATTATTCTCCAAAATTGTCCAATTTCCTTTCTTTGTCGACATCGATATCCACCACGGTCAAGACCCGCATCGTCGACTCACTTTTGCCCCTCCGTGATCGTGCACCAATGCGGCGCCGACTCGTTAGGTTCTGACCGTCTCGGCTGTTTCAATCTATCTATCCGCGGCCACGGCGCGTGTCTCGCTTTCGCAAAGTCGCTTGGGATCCAGATGATGGTTTTAGGTTGGCGTGGCTACACCATCCGCAACGTCGCGCGCTGCTGGACCCACGGGACCCGGTCTGGCGACGGGCGCCGAGATCCCGCACAAGCTCCCCGACCACGCAGCCTACTTGACCACTACGCCCCCGACTTTTTCGCTCCACCCGCAGATGTGAAACCCGGCTGGGGAAACCAGAACTCGCGGTCGTACCTCACACCATAAAGATGCTCGCGGCGGACTATTTGCGACACCTGAACGGGGCGCCGGCGCCGGGGATCCAGATGGCTGAGATACCCCGATTTGCAGGGTTTAAACGAGAGCGGGAACTGGGAGGCTGATAGGGCCGAGCACCGGTGGGGGAATGTGAGGTTTGATGGAGCTGGAGAGGGTTTCGGAGAGCATGGTGGGAGGAGGAGGAGGGATCGGAAGGCGAAGGCGGCAAATCCTTGGGAGTTTTACGATGAGGATGAGGAAGAGGAGACCATGGCGGGGGGGGGGGGGGGGGGAAGTCGGTGGTGGGGGTGGTGGTGGTGGTCAGAGCAGGAATAGCTCGAACCCATGGCGGATGTTAAGTGGGATTGATTGTAAGCTGAAAATGGATTACGGTCTGAGGATGAAAATTGATGTAACGAGCCGCCTCGCCTTCAAAGTAACTCACTGCAGCATTTTCCACCTGAACACAGCAACGACTCACAACTTGAGCCGTTCCTGCCGGCCTCCCGGGTTTGAACGGAAGGGATTTCAGATGGACTGACTCCGCTGCCTCAAAACCAGCAGCTCCTTCCACATACATCTGACTCATTCAAAGTATCACATCATTAGACACATACTCGTTCAAACATCCTCACACCACTCAACCATTTTGATCTAAATGCTACAGAGACGAAACGGGGGTACTCGAAATGGAAACAACAACGGCGTGCCCGTGATCTTCAGACCCGGGCAAGTCAACCACCGCACCTCGATGACCGGGTTCACCTACACCCCAGAATTCTCCGTCACTGAGGAGAAGTACCGCTATGTCATGAAAGTCATGATGCCCGGGGTCACCAAAGAGAATGCGAACCTGTTCATCACGGAAGGGGTAATGACGATCGAGGGTGCGACAGTTGGAAAGTACAGGGAGAAGTTCTCGGTGTGGAAGTACAAGCGGGAGGTGACCGTGCCGGACGATGTGGACATGGATAAGATCTATGCGTCGATGGAGGACGGAGTTTTGACGGTTAAGGCCGGGAAGATGTCTTCAAAGAAGGTGATCAAGGTGCGTTGAAGTTGGGATGTGGATCATTGGGCTTTGAGCGTGGATTTTAGTGTTCTTTTCGTGTACATAGTATTTTTGTGGTCTCTTCTCGCTTGCCCATAAAACTTCTCGAATTGGTTGTTCTTCGTGCAACTTCAAATAGTGAGCCGGCACAGCTTGTGTGGCTTGAATCTAGCAACCAGTCGCAAATGGTCAACGCATGCAACTATTTTATTGAACGGTAGGGAGCAAAAGAAGACGTGCGCGCTTAGGTTCTTAACAGGGAGTGGCTGTCCATGCAGTTACAAAGGCATGTCAGGAGGAAGTGGCAGTCAGGAAAGAACAACAGATTTTTCGGCGTCAAAGGCAAAATGGTGGCCGTCTGCATACTGTTCACAAACTAGAAGTGCTTCTTGCATCTCTGCACGGGATTTAGCAATAATGACTGAATCATCAGCATAAAGAAAAGAATTGTCGTGATGCAGGGGCGGGGGGTAAACATTGTGAAGGACGGTGCTAATGGACAAAGAATGGATGGTAAAGGATTAAGGAAGGTGATGTAAGCAAAGGACTTAGAATCGAAACTTGGAACAGAGTTGGGGGAAGATAAAGGTCAGAAGTATGTTGATAACTCTTACGAATATCTGCATTTTTGAGCAGACTAATGTTCCAGGTAGGCAGAGGTAGGCACTCGAGAGTGAGGTTTTTAATGACACGCTTCTACGTTTATGTTTTGTATGCTTGCTATTGTGACTTTGTGTGTTGAACCTTTATGCCTTAAATTCTTTTGTTCCTTATATTTTCTGGCAACGTTGGTTTACATCGTAGTTGTTTGGACTTTTATGTTTTGGCGATCCTAAGGCATATTGGGGTTGGTAGCATTTCCTAGGCCTTGAGATTTTCTGTTTGGCACATAGCTCACACACTACAGTCTTGTTGTATCTAGCCTACGACATATCCCTGCCTTGACACTCCCAAAATTGGGATCTCAAGTGATCTTCTATTGTTACACTCATTTTGTGGTTGATATCAACTTTACTAGGCCAATCGGTACTAGTTTGGGGCTGCTGTTGTCTACACACTCACGCTTGCAGACAAAAACCCCTTGGTTTAACACCCTAGCACTTTGAGAAAGAAAATTGAAATATCCCATCAGTATAACTGGAGCATCTAAAGAAGGCACATATTGAGGAAACTCAGAAAGTGCAATGAGATTATGGGACACACAAGGAGGAAAGTAAGAGCCACTAACAGCAGCACATCTGAAAATGAAACCGAAGGGCACCGCCAAGGTTGGTGAAGTAAAATACCACCAGACTCTTGAGTCATGTCAAGGCCCAAGCAGTATGAGGATTGTCCCAAATTCTTGATCTCAAATTCACTTGAGAGTGATACTTTAGTATCAGGAGTCCCAATGATATTCAAACCATCAACATAGTGCCACTTCTGGAGTTTGGGTTCATCTTGGTCTTTCTCAACAACTTCGGCCGCAAATAGCAACATTGATTTGTGGTCTCTTGCACTAGAACCATCCCACAGAGTCTTGGTGAAGATGAGCGCAATTTTTATCTCAATCTCAGCAGTCTTAGAAACGTAAGTAGAAATCACTTGACCAAATCCTGCGCCACTTCTTGCTGTAAATTATAGTATTTGTTCAATGTGAACAATTGCTGCGGATCTTCTGGGTAAAAAGAGCGGAAGATTCCAATAATTAATCCATTAATTTCAGGAACGAAACGTTTTAGATTACTTCCAAATTGAACTTAGTCTTCGTCAGCAACAGGATTTGAACCTGTGAGCGTAGAACGCAACAGATTTCAAGTCTGTCTCCTTAACCACTCGGACATACTGACTTGGAGTCTCATAGTGGCTCAGTCGGTACGAATGCGACTTTTCGAAGCTAAACTCCGCGGTTCGAATCCTATAGGGGACTGGATTCGAATTTCCTACGAAATATATCTCTCGCAATATCGTGTCACGTGCAAGTACCGCGCCACACCTCCTTCGATTCGCCATTGCCTTCGCTCCTCTTTCCTACGGCTCGCACGGCTCCCCAAGTACTGAAGATTCCAAATCTTGGTTGAAGTACACGTGGGTGACATGTACTGATTAAGCATTGTCAATACATGTTATAACATTCAAAAAAAAAAAAAAAAAAAAAACTCTGCCACATCAGTTTCGTTGGTCACAACATTGCTTCCTTTATCTGTATTCGCTCAACCGCAATTGCTCTCCGTGCGCACTTCTCCACCCAGGAAGCTTCCACTGACGAATCAAACCCTGACTTTCTTCGCCGAGCCTCTACTCTGCCTTTGGAGCAGCGGGAGGCTGCGGTCAGGGAAGTTGTTCACAAGAGATATGCACATATCCTCAGTTCAGTTACTGATCCTGCTATTTTCCTGTATGTCCGTGGTCAGCTCCCCATGGATGCTCAGGAAACTGTGCTGGACAGTGCCCGCGGGATTGCGCGTCAGCCTCGCTCAACCCATCTTCGTCAATGATTAGTGTTCGAGTTGGTACCTTCAATTGTCGCAATTTGAGCTTTGGAGTTCTTGATTCACTGTTTCGTTTTATGAGAGCAAATCACATTGTTTTTCTGCTCCTGACTGAAACACACCTTTTTCCTTTAGACCCGCTGCCTTCTCCAGATTTGATTTTTGACACTCGTTTTTCTCCTGGGTCATCGGGCACACGACGGGCTGGTGTGGGAGTCTTGATCAATCGCAGTCTTTGTAGAGCTTCTGATTTCCGTCTCGTTTCTAGTTATGGTGGCACCTCTCTATGGTTTACATTTCGTGGGCTTTTGGTTGGAGGGTATTATTTGCCTCCGTGTGGTATTGCTCAGGACCCCTTCCTTGAAGAGTTTATTGCTTCACTTCCTCAACATGTCCCGTCGTCTCCGTGCCCTGTTCTTTTGTTGGGCGATTTCAATGCCCGTTTTTTAGCTACTGGTGATCATTCTTCAAATCGTAGGGGTAGGTTGTTTGAGCAATTTATTTCTGCCGCTAGTTTCTCTCTAGTTAAGCACCCTTCCTGTCATAACCCCACATTTTCTTCTCGCAATGGTGACTCCATTATCGATTTGTTGTTTGTCAATCCTCTGCTTCAATGTGATCCTATTTCTTACATAGTTCATAGTCGTCTAGCCGACGGCGAGTTTATGCCTTGGGCTTCTGACCATTTTCCGGTTACAGCTGTTTTTTCTTTTGCTCCTCCCAATGCCAGCGCTCCCTCTGCTGCACCCCCCCACAAGCGCTGGGCTGCTCATCTGTTGCGTGAACCTGCTGTCTTTCAAGCAATGGAGGATGTGGGACATTTGTTTTTTGATCCCACCCTTGCTGATGTCAATGCTGCACTCAGTCCAATTTTAGAAGCTCCCGCCTTTGCCCAAATGTCTGTGGATGTTGCACAGGGATGTATTGACTCTGCATTGGATATTATTTTGTCCTTTGTTACTTCATGTGCTGCTTGTGTCATTGGACCCCCCAGTTTAGTTCGCCGTCGCCCTGCCCTGCCATTGTTGCCGCCGCATTTAGTGGCCTTGCGACGGAGCTACTTACTTGCTCATAAGCACTATTTAGCTGTTTCTTCCTGTGATGATCCTGATCCTGGTTTAGTTGAGTATTGCCGCTTGGAGCGTGACCGGCTATCGCGTGAGCGTGTCAAAGCTTTTCGTACTTGGTCTCTTTCTCTGCGAGCTCGAGAGGCTTCTGGCGACAATATGTTTAGTTCTTCTCCTAGTTCTTTAACCGAGGTTAGCAAAGTTCTTTCCACCGCGCGTAGGTGTCATCAACGGCGCTCAGCTGCAAGTGGTTTATTGTCTGATCCTGCCTCTTTATCTCATTATCGCAATCACTTTGCCTCCGTTTATCAGACTCAGTTTGCACAATCCTCTGCCAGTGCAGAACACGTTCGTCTACATGCGCTGAATGATTCTGTGTCAGTTAGTGTTAGTGACTTTGTTTGTGCTATTCGTTCTTCCCCAAACAACTCTGCTCCTGGCCCAAACCATATTCCAGCTGAGTTATTTAAGCCGTTAGCTTCTGATGTTGCTATCCTTTTTGTTCAACTTTCAAACGCTATTTTCCGTTCAGGTTTGTCGCCCTCTGCCTGGAATTCTGGCTTGTTGTTACCTGTTTGGAAGAATAAGGGTTCCATTGGTGATATTAGTCAGTACCGCCCCATTACTTTAACCAATGTTGATAGAAAAATCTTTGAGCGTACCCTGCTTCCTATGCTTGTAGCTCATGTTGGTAAACTTGATCCCGCCCAAGCTGGTTTCCAGGCCAATCGTTCAGGTGTTGAGTGTGTTTTTGCATTAGATGCTACCCTTCGACGGGCTTCCCGCACTGCTCTGCCTTATTGTGTTACTTTCTTAGATATTAAAGCAGCGTATGATACTGTGCATAGGCCTCTTTTGTGGGAACGTCTTCGTCAATTTCCCAGAATTCCAAACCGTTTGATCTCTGTTTTGATGAGTATGTTTGATCGTTGTTCTTCTCAGGTTGTTATAGAGAATCGTTCTTCTGATTTGTTTTCGCTTCCACGAGGTCTTTTTCAAGGTTCTGTTTTGTCTCCGTTCTTGTACTCAGTTTTCATCAATCCTTTAGCACAGCTCCTTCGTCGTGAATCTTCTCATCTTGCTAGGTTTTCTTATAACACTCCTGTTTTCAATTCGTTGTTTTTTGCTGATGACATAGCTTTGTTTTCTGCCACCCCTGAGCAAGCCCAACGTGCATTGAAAATTTGTGAAGATTTTGCTTTAGCTTCTCATTTTGTGTTTTCACCTTCAAAGTGTGCTGTGTTATCTTCTCAACGGTTACCCACCCCCTTGAAGCTTCATGGCTCTGCCCTCCCTGTAGAGGTTTCATTTAGATACCTTGGTCACTATTTTACTATTGAAGGGTTTGATCTTGCTGCAACTATTGATCATCGCTTAGAGAAAGCTCGTGCCTCATTGTATCTTTTTGCACCTTATGTCTCGTACTTTGGTGGGTCTGCTCCTCGTGTTGCCAGGTTGTTGTTTTTGTCTTTTATTAGACCTTCACTTGAGTTTGGTTTAGCACTTATTCGGCCATCCACTGCTCAGCTTCAGGTACTCGAGCGTTTTTGTTATCATGCACTGTGTCGTCTGTTTTCGATAGCCCATACCACTTCGCGTGTTGGTTTGTTGCTGTTAGCGCAAATTCCTACTTTTGAGTTCAGGCTGAAGTACCTTCAGGCACGTATGTTTGCTCGCTGGTCTAGTGATTCCAGCCCTCTGTTACCAGCTGCTGTGTTGCAATTCTATCGGTCATCTCCAGTCGGTTATGGTTCATCTCCTTATTTTTCCGCTTGTCACAATGATCTCATTGTTCCTATGCCTGTTGTGCCCCCACTTCATCCGTTGATGTTGCATTTTCAGTCTTTAGCTGTTGCACATAATGGACCAATTGCAGTTTCGTTTGCCCCTGTCCGCAATTTGAAACTTCGCCACCCTTTGTTGCTACCCCCACACCAACATCTCCCAACAGTATGTCTTCGTTTGTTCCTGCTATATCGGCTTGGCCGCCTGTTTCCAAACCCCCGACCTTATTGTAGGAACTGTCATGATGCCCCTGAAATGTCGCGTGCCCATGTCTCTGTGTGTCTACATTTGCGTGCTAGTTTGTCTGCTAGTTTTGATCTAGGCCCACCTGATGATCCCCGCCTACCTCTTGACATTGCAATTGATATGCTTTCACCACGGCCTTTTTATCCTTCCCCTGCTTTTTCCCAGTGGGTTCTTGTTCTTCGTGCACTTAACCGCATTTGGTCAAACTGTCTTGGTTATGAGTTAGTTTTGTCTCCAGCTCCTGATTGTATCTTGTCTGCTTTTGTTGATTTGGATATGCCTTAGTGTTTTGAAACATTTTACTTTTCCTACGGCTCGCACGGCTCCCCATGTGCTGCCAATTTACGTGTATATTTACACTTGTATTTGGATTTTGCACCAGCGGGTGATATGTATTGGTTGGACAATAAATACATATTATGAAGTTCAAAAAAAAAAAAAAAAAAAAAAAAAAAACTCTGCCATGATCATTTGCACCTCACCTCCGGTTATCCATCGCAACTGTGAGCCTTGTACCCCTGCTGCCCTTCTTTTCACCTCTGCTCCTCTCTCCCTTAGCTCTCCATTGACCCTCTCACCTGCTTCTCTTCTGAGCAGTCTGCTGACTAGCAGGGGCTACTCCTCTGCTCATCCCTTATCTCTCTCACTTGCCTCTGCTCTGCCTTCTGACTTTGCAAGTTCCCTGACCTTCCTAAAGTGCTCTGCACTTCTATTGCGCTCCATTTCTGCTCTCTCCCCTGCTACCCTCAACCCTGATCTGCTTCCAACTCTCCCTGCTTCTCCTCCACATTTACACGTCGCTGCCACCTGTGCCCTTGGTGCCACCAACACTGCCACCAGCACTGCCCCTGGTGCCACCCACACTGCCACCACCACTCTTGACAGTTCAGCCACCTGCTCAGCCCCATCTCCAGCCTCATCACCTGCCACCAATGATTCCATGAATGAGCTTACTTGTTCGCACTTCCTCTTGGACGACCTGCCGACCTCGCATAGAAGCTTCAAATTTGTCAAAGAATGTGCCGAATCCTTCACTACTCTCCGATTTTCTGGTTTTACTCGTCGCCCAATCAGGGACCTTCGTGTGTTGCTTCGCAAAGATCTTCCGTATACCGCTTACCATGGCATCCGCTACATCTCATTTCTCGGCTCTGATTCTGTTGAATTTCTTTGTCGTTCTTATGCTGCTGATCTGATCCGCAAACACATACCTGGTCGAGAAATCACTGATTTGGATGTGTCCCCTCCTTCGTATTCTGA